AACAAACAGAAATACAGAATAGGTAGGGCGCTGGAGGGATCATTTTCTGAGAGAAAACTCAGATGTACATGTGAATAAATGAAAATGATCATAATGATTGGACTCGTCAGTGAATACATCTCTTCTTAGAGTATTTTATAATTTGTGGATAATAAAATGATTGGTTCAGACGTAATATAAAACAAATTGATAACAAACTATATCACTGCATGAAAAGTTGCGTTTAATAAAATTAAACTTAATTAAATTTACATTTTACATGAACTTTCAAGTTTAATTCGAATTTAATATTAAATTATACATCAAAGTTTAATGGTAATTAAATCTCAACTTTACGTCATGTTTAAAAATGATTAAACGCCATTAAACCCGCAGTTTCAAGTAAAATTGAGGTTTAAGGAAATTTTTTTTATGACAAATGATCAGCAATTTTGTCGAAGAAATACGTTAAATATGCTACTGTCCCCCTTTTTTCAGATATCATATTTTGCTGGTGAGATTGTTCATTCATTGCTACCCGATCTGTTTGCAAAATTTAATCATGGTGATGCAAATAGTTGGAATTTATACCCTCTTTTTAATTGATGCCCACCCCCCCCCCTTCCTTTTAAAATGGGTTTATATTTTTCCTTTGATCATGGATGTCTTTACTACAGACATTAAAATAAATTAAATCATTATTCCTTTCTCTATGTCAAAATCATAATTTCAACTTGGACAATAACTCTCTCATCATTTTAAATATTGTAAACTGTAAAGCACAACTTGTTTTTTATTTATTTTAATTTCACACAATTTTAAATTCATAGCTATTATCTTAATTGATAATGCACTGCCTTTATCTAGCAATTTATCTTCCGTGCCTCTCTTTGGGCCCTTTATTGGAAAAGAATACTCTCTCTATATTGCATGTTGCATTTCATTGGTCACTGGTTGCAATCAACCATGCAATCCACATTTTCTTTCATCTATTAAGATATGCATTTAGTTTTAAATAAAATACTCATTATACGAACAGCACAAAAGTTCTCATAAACATTGAACACAATTTTATTCATTTAAATGAACATGTCATGTATCAACTAAGTCCATTACTTCTATAAAATAATAATGATAATAATGGTCTAAAAAATTGCAAAAACACATTACTTCTGAAGTACCAATGATACAATAAACAATTCAAATGTTATAACACACGCTTAAAAAAATAACATTGAACAGTTAATGAAATCGCCAGGCATATCTATATTTTACACCAGGCACATTAAGTTCATCCTTCCAAGATGACAAAAACCACCTGGCACAGGACGCACATCCTTCCAAGATGGCCGACACCACCTGGCGCAGGACGCACATCCTTCCAAGATGGCCGACACCACCTGGCGCAGGACGCACATCCTTCCAAGATGGCCGACACCACCTGGCGCAGGACGCACATCCTTCCAAGATGGCCGACACCACCTGGCGCAGGACGCACATCCTTCCAAGATGGCCGACACCACCTGGCGCAGGACGCACATCCTTCCAAGATGGCCGACACCACCTGGCGCAGGACGCACATCCTTCCAAGATGGCCGACACCACCTGGCGCAGGACGCACATCCTTCCAAGATGGCCGACACCACCTGGCGCAGGACGCACATCCTTCCAAGATGGCTATTTTTTTCTGAACTTTGAAACTCTTTCCAGACATTTCCATCGTAAATATCTGTCAAAAACCCAGGTGACTGCTTCCTTGATCGCCAATGGTTACAAAGATCTTCAAACCCAGGCCTTTTAACTAAATCTTGCAAAGATTCTTGAATAGGTTTATAGCAGTAAGTTTTAAATGGGTAAAGTTTTTTGGTTCCATCTAAAAGTGTTAAAGATTTTGACAACAATTCCCCACATGGTCTACGCCTTGCTGGCTGTGTATGGTTAGGATATTCTACAAAAGGACATTTAGCAGACACAGTTTGGCCCTCTAAATTCAATACACAATCATTGTAGAGGTAAATAGAAAAACATTTTCTGCATACAACATATTTTGTAAAATTGTCTTTTTTCAAGCCTATTCTTTTCCATAACAAATAAACTGAGCCTGGAAAAATAGTAGCTAAACTTGAAAATATGAATGACTCTTTTCCAATTCTAGAAAAGAATGTTTGTAAAAATGAAAGAAGGCTGTTTATAACACAGTCTGGCAGCATAAAAATGGCTTGCCATGTACATATGAATATACATAACCACATCAAAAGTGTCCCAAATTTTATATTTGGGTTTGAAACATTCACATCATTCATTTCATTTCTTTCACAAAGTTCTTCTGTTTGAAGGTCTAAATCTAAATCCTCCAAACTTGCATTATTCCAGACCTCATCTTCACTTTCAGACTCAGCGTCATAATTATTAACAAAAAATTTTTTTGCTAACGTATGATTGAAAAACATTGTGTAATCTATGAGAAGATAGGTTCTCATCTGATGAACTCTCTGATGATTCCTCTACATTCTCCTGAGATAAAAATTCAACATTTTCTAACCCAGACTTGGAACAACTCCATTGATTATTACAAAAAAACATTTCTTTATGCTGCCTAAAATACCTAGATGTAAATGATTGTTTACATCCTGGACATTCTTTCCTTGACATTTTTTTTCTTTGAGCTTGGTGAAAAACTGAAAGTTTTTGTTTCCCTGACATGGTTATTAATATTCCCTTTTGGAGCTATTAAATTCAACAAGAGGCCCATGGGCCACATCGCTCACCTGAGAAGCTTTGACAATTCTGTACTTTACTAGATTTACCCCTTGTAATACATATTGTGACCCCACCCTACCCCACTGATCATAATTTAGACAATTTGAAATCTACACAGATTTTTCCTATATATTTCTAAGTAAAACTTTGATTCCCCATTGTGGCCCCGCCCGATCCCCGGGGGTCTTGATTTGAACAAATTAGAATCTACACTACCCCAGGATGTTTCCACATAAGTTTCAGCTTTTCGGGCACAGTGGTTCTTGAAAAGAAGATTTTCAAAGATTTTTCCTATATATTTCTATGTAAAACTTTGATTCCCCATTGTGGCCCCGCCCAACCCCTGGGGGTCATGATTTGTATAATTTAGAATCTACACTACCCCAGGATGCTTCCACATCAGTTTCAGCTTTTCTGGCACAGTGGATCTTGAGAAGAAGATTTTCAAAGATTTTTCCTATATATTTCTAGGTAAAACTTTGATTCCCCATTGTGGCCCCACCCAATCCCCGGGGGTTATGATTTGAACAATTTAGAATCTACACTACCCCAGGATGTTTCCACATAAGTCTCAGCTTTTCAGGCACAGTGGTTCTTGAGAAGAAGATTTTTTAATGACCCCACCCTATTTTTGTCTTTTCTTGATTATCTCCGCTTGCAAGGGGATATGTCCCTTCATTTTAACAATTTAAATTCCCCTTCACCCAAGGATGCTTTGTACCAAGTTTGGTCAAAATTGGCCCAGTGGTTCTTGAGAAGAAGTCGAAAATGTGAAAAGTTTACGGACGGACAGACGGACGACGGACACAATGTGATCAGAAAAGCTCACTTAAGCCTTCGGCTCAGGTGAGCTAAAAATTGCAAAAAATACAATTCTAACAACTCATTATTGAAAAAGCTTAAAATAGATAATTACCAAAAAATATACAATTACTCATGACTAAAAAATATACTACTAACCAATTTAAGGTAGGTCCCTACTCGTAGAAATAATTGGATAATGGTGCAATTTTTGTCCTGATTTACATAAATAGATACTTTATCTACTTCAAAAGCACAAAAATTACAAAGATAATCGCTATTTTTACTGAGATAGGGTGTGAAACACTCATGTACCCTCTTGTTGAAAAAGCAAAATCATCACGGTTATAAAGACTGTCTACATTTTATGTCATAGCACATGGCAAATAAATTCTTTTGAACATAAATTACAAGGATAAGGATAATATTTAATAATTTCAGGCTATGGAACACATTTCTGCTTAAAATTAAGAAAATATTGAATAATTAATCTCATTTCACTAATAAAGTAACAGACCTCAAAACTCAAATAAAGCTCTCTATTAGAATAATTAATTTGTTTACCCTTATTTTTTTGTTTTAAATCATAGCAACCAATGCTTGAAGTATCTTATAGGCATGATAAATTTATTGGTCATCTGTTTTTTCACCGAGATATGGGGTAAAACATACAGGTACCCCCATCGCAGTTCAATAGCCCAAGCATTTTATGTTGGCAAAGATATTTATAAATCAGCTTAAAAGTGAAATATTATTTTTAAGAACAATATTAACACACCCTTTCCTAACCACAAACATAAATTTTATTCTCTATTTAATTCTTTATTCATTATGTACTGTGAGCATGTCCACTACTGATGATCTGACTTTCCTGGATGCTTATTACTAGTTAAAAAAATTATAAGCGATGTCTTTCAAGCAAAATTATGTCTGAAATTGCATATACATCGATAGAAACATGTGTTGTTGCTTTTTAATTATAATTGAGTACCTGAGTTCGTATGTAGAAAATTTGCCGTCAAAACCGAAAGTAGGAAAATCCCATCTGCACAGCATACAAATTGTGCATAAATAAAAACAACAAACAAAAAGTTTTATGCAATGACATAAGAGCAAATTATTCACCACGTTTTCTGTAATTAGATATCGGAAATATCTGAGATGTACCAATGCAATCATAAACGTCTAGTATCAGTGTAACCTCCTAGGCTAAAAATACACCGCATCTGAATATCACATCCGGCATTTGACCTCGCGCTTGTGTTTTAAATCAATTCAATTTTTTGCTACATACTGTATGAATTTCAATCCTTGCACAAAAAATAACCTCAATCATCTTTATACGCCCCTCCAACATTTCTATAGACGTTGTTTACATTTTTGCTAATGTTATATGTACCATAATTTTAAAACCGAAAACGGTAATTCCGGCTTCCGGTTTGACACGAGTAGCCCCCTACTTTAACAATATCAAAAATCCTTTTAAGTCTTGCAGCAAAATTTACATTTTTTCTTACTTTTTATAAAATGAATACAATGGTTAGTGAATCTTAAAAGCTTTTCTCTTTTCTGTCTTTCGTCCTCCAATGTTTTTCGCAACTTAACCGCATCCCTGTTCCCGTCCCCAAATAATTCTTTTGCCGTTTTGTAATTGGTCCTCTTTTCTATAAACGTTTCATCGATATATATGGAATCCTTTGCGCACTGTGAATTTACTTCCTGTTCCGCCTCCTCTAAAAGTGAATATTCCTCCTCCAGACCAACTTTCTCTGCTGCAAAAATTAATATTAAAATCAAAATATGTATGCTGAACAATTTTAGCAATTGTATCAAAAATGGAAATCATTCAAATTTAATAAAATTACCTATAACAATTCCTTTAAATCTTCAATAATCATTTTTCATCAATATGAGTATATAAATAGTATTTGTACGTCAATGTTAAGCAAGCAATCATACAATGACATTCATTACCTTGATTTAATACAAGTTATATTTTAAAATAAATTGATTAGGGTTGGATACCGTTAAGGATGAAACCGTATGATACCATACCGGTATTTTTGAAAGGATACGGTTGTTTTAACGGAATGGTACTATACCTTGATGAATGAGAATCCGGGTTTATTTTAATGAAAAATATGCTTTCAATTATCACCGCTTATAACCAAACTTTCAATGTTATAATCTAAAATGTTTTAAATATATTCTATTTCTATAATTCAACCTTTTATTAAATGATGAACAAAACAAATTAATCTGAATCTCAATAAAATAAAAAAAACATAAGAAACATTGTTGTCTAATTCTCTGCTAAATGACAGCTGATTGCTTCATCCTGTCGCCATTTTGCTTGGTATCACTAAACGATGAAACATGAGAAAGGGAGAGATGACATCACAAATTCGCAACGATTTCCCTTTCTAATTGACAATTTTTATCGGTTTGTAATAACAAAACTCAAACAAGATTAATGTAAATATTTTTTTAATAAGTGTTGGTTTTTCTCGAATATAGGTTGTAGAAAGGAAGTATCTTCCTCAGTACTGATTTTGTTAATTAGCCAACCTTTTCAATGCACAGAGAATCAAGTTTCGCGAGTCTGGAATCTTTTTCAAACAAGAGGTGTTTGTAAAACACTTATGCCCCCCTACCCCCAAATTGGAATTTTTCCAATTCCAAGGGGCAAAACTCTGTCAAAAATGGCACGATTGTACCCATAAAAGAATTTGACCTATATATTCACAGAGTTCTTGAAATCTTTTTCTCGCTGTCAGTCGTTTGAACCGACTGCCATGTGAAGTTTGTCAGTCCAGACAGATTTCTATCAGTCCAAAATAAATTTAATAAAAACATGAAAATAAAATTGTATTCAAATTTTATTATCAATAAACACGGTGTCTATATGAACACTGCACACTTCTTACCCTAGCACCGTCAAGAAACTTGTTTTAACAGTGAACCAATAGTTTGGCACAAGTTAGAATAATCTGAGTCTCGGAACATGTCCTCATAACAGTTATACTCGCAATGTAGCAAATAGGTTTGCAAATAGGTTAGAATTGCTCCGAAACGAATTTGAAGTATAGGAAAGGATATGAACTGGAAATAACTTCAAAATTGGTTTGAACATATTTTATTGTTTTGATGTAATCACAATAGGGCTGTCACGGTTCCAAAAATTTTCGGGTCGGGTCGGTTCTGATTTTTGTAGGTTCGGTTTCGGGTTTCTCGGGTCGGGTAGGTAATGGAAGAAAAGCTCATGATTTGTATCATTTCCACATTTAATCTTAGAAATTGCAACATTATAACTAGTTTAAATTAGCCTCCTGACTAGACAACAATTGTACCATATTATTTAAATAACCTTTCAGGGTTTTAGATTGAAATAATTTTTAAGTAACTATAGGCCATTCTGTCCTAAAATTCCTAAAATTATAGGCCAATAGAAAAGTTAAACAAGCTCAGATTTCTATCCGACTTTTACAAAATAGTCATTTTATTACATAAAATATTCAAATATGAATATTAATTTTCCTTTTAATGAGGTGGAAATATTATTTTGCTTTCTTTTAAACAAAATTAATATATTGAAACAGAATGGGAATTGTTTTTTTTTTAATTCCATTCAATGGGTATTAACCTTATATTAGTCCCACCTTTTATTACTTGTACATATATTCATTTCTTGGGAATATAATTTTTAAAAATAGTAATCCAAAAATTAGACTTGTATCTCTAATGATATTCAATGTATAATCGCGTTTAAAGATTACATAGAATAATTTATTCCCCTTAGTAAAACTTTGCACCATTGTCCGTTTCCTGCTATTAGTCCGACCCCATATTCAATCATGGCGGTAAAAAACAACATGGCATGGATTCCTTCGATGTTTTAAACATTCATCACTACTCTTATGCTCCTTGCAGTTGGGTTTGGAAATAAAATTATAGAGTATTTTGTCAAGATCTATTTATACCAAAATGTCATTGGCTGATTGAATCGGCAGTTGCAGAAAGTAGAGAAAAACAATCGGATCTGAAGGGGGGGGGGGGATTATACGACTGGCCCTTACATACAGAAGATAATTGGCCATTATGTCAATTTCAAACTTATAGGCCAACGTGGCAGGTAAATTTATTTTTTTCCTGCCATTTTTAAATTTTATTGGCAAATGGCCAACACCAATTTGAAATCCTGCCTTTTCATGACAATGTACTAACAAATCTCTCGTTTTTGACGCCATTTTTATAGTAAAATCTTCTCTATTATACATATCGGACCCGAACCGAATTCCGGAAAAACGGAACCGTACCCGTCCCGAAGTAATTGTTCCGCGGTTCCGGGTCATTTCGGGTACCCGTGACAGCCCTAAATCACAAAAGGATTAATAACAACAAACCTATTTTTTAGGTCGCGTATGTCTTTAAACCTAAATTATGATCCAAATAAAGACGATAATTCAACTTATTTTCTTAACGTTTTTTTCTCGCTTCTTACACGCCACGTTTGCATTCGGAACTCTCTGGAATCTTCGTAGTAAATGTACTGAGTTCGAGTCATTGCCGGTGTTTATTTTGTGACATAGTGAATATAAGGAACAAATTCTATTATTAAACCGGGTCCGTAGGACATTTATCATTTTAACGATAGAACATTGTCTTTAAATTTGCACTTGTATTAATCAAGAAGCCATTACAACATGCAGAAAAAGAGTTTGGAAGATAACGATCCATCGATAATAGGGAATTTATACGAAATTTAGTCAGATTTTTGCAAGTTCTCTGTCAACACCATCCGGTCATTTGGACTGACACAGAACGGAAAGTAATCGGTCCTTGGTTGTTTCAATCAGTTTTGCCGACAGGACCGAAAGATTTCAAGAACTCTGTATTCATCTGATAAATCAGTATACTACATTTCATCTCAGCATGTGCACAGTTGTGAAGAAAATGAACGGAAACTGCAAATAATTGGAATTTTTCTAAGTCCAAGGGGTATAACTCTGTCAAAAATGGTGCAATCATGCCTAAACCAGAACTTGACCTAGATTTTAATGTGATATATCTGTATAAAAAAATTTCAAGTATGTACAACGGTTGCAAAGAAAATGAACGGAAACTGCAAATAATTGGAATTTTTCTAAGTCCAAAGGGCATAACTCTGTGAAAACTGGTGCGATCGTACCCAAAACAGAACTTGACCTAGATATATATCTGATAAATACATGTATGTATACCAAATTTCATCTCCGTATGTGCAACAGTTGTAAAGAAAATGAATGGAAACTGCAAATAATTGAAATTTTTCTAAGTCAAAGGGGTATAACTCTGTGAAAACTGGTGCGATCGTACCCAAAACAGAACTTGACCTAGATATTCATGTGATATATCTGCATACTAGATTTCATCTAAGTATGTGCAACGGTTGTAAAGAAAATGAACGGAAACTGCAAATAATGAAATTTTTCTAAGTCCAAGGGGCATAACTCTGTCAAAAATGGATGTGATCGTACCCAAAACAGAACTTGGCCTGAATATTTATGTGATATATCTAAATACCAAATTTCATTTCAGTATGTGCAACGGTTGCGAAGAAAATGAACGGAAACTAAGTGGACCGACAGACCGACCGACAGACAGCAGCAAAGCAATATGCCCTCCCTTCTTCGAAGGGGGGCATAAAAATTATTTTATTAAATCTTTAACTATGTTTTAAAGATTATGAAATACCGTTATCAGTACCGGCATTAAATGAAACGGTACTTTACAGGTATTTGTGAAGTAACTATTCGATACAGTACTGGTACCATGTACCAGTTTCCAACCCTAAAATTGATCACTTTTCATCACAAATAGCGGTAATATTTACCGTTTTTTTTATTGAACATTTCGAATTCCTCAGAACTCTCATTCAACTGCAGGAGCCTTGCCTTTTCCATTCTGTGTTTCTTCCTTTTTTCTTGCCTCTTCCTCCTTTTATTTTCTAGAGAGTGTTTTCCCATTTCATCTATAATAAAATTAATGATAATATCAACAACAGATGTTTGTAGATATTCTTTTGATAAATCTATATACATTGTACCAAATTTCAATTCAGTGTGTGCAACCTCGTGAAAAAAATTTTAAACATCTACCTTTGGTTGACAATAAAAAAATCTTGTAAAATGTGTAAAATATTTTTAAAATAAATAGCATGAACCATTTGAAATAAACTTCCTTACTCAGTGCATATATTTCTATTAATGCTCCTGTCTTCTTCTATATTGCCAACTAACCAATCTCAATATGGTAACCTAATGACCTGTAAAATGAAATAAATTGTCAAACTTAATTTTCACTAACAGCTTAACCATTATCAGGAAATGGTTAAACTTCAATGGATTAAATTTTCATGAAATGAACAAATTATGGTTATTTACTGTATAACATGTTTATTTCTCTTGAAATAGGGAATCCTATATATCAAATTAATTTTGCTCTGTCTTTTTTCATTGTTTTTTATTTCAAAGCGTGTCAATGATTGCCATACACTTATTATGTTCCCCAAACGAAGTTGGGGAACATATTGTTTTTACTCTGTTTCTTATTATTATTTTTCTTCTTCTTCCTGGGTACTTTTTTGTCCGCGAGTGATCTTGTAAACTGTTCACCCGAAGAAGGTAAAACCTTTTTAGGGTTAGTAGACATGTTATGTAGATTTGCGGAATCAAGGTCATTTTGCGCGCACGTGCTTGCAAGAGCGTGCACGTGCAACACGTAAAATGACCAATATAATAGATATGGCCATAACTTTTCTATTTCTTGATTATATGCTTTGAAACTCATAAAATATAAATATATAATAGTACTGTACACATGATGACATGATCATGCACGTGCGCTTCGCTCTGATTGGCTGAAACTAAAGTCTCAATATCTTTCTTGTATTTGATTAAATCCTTTGAAATTTTAAACATAGTTATACATTAGGGAGATCTACAGCCTGATATAAAAGAATTATGATAAAAGAATGTGCATGCACGTGTGCTTGCAAGAGTGCGCACGTGCAACACGAGAAATTAAATATAATTGATATAGACGTAACTATTTAAATTTGTGATGAAATGCTTTGAAACTCATAACATAAGGATATATTAGAAGCTTAGACAAGAGGACATGGTCAAAAAAGCAAGATCTCACGCGCGTGCACGTGTGCTTTGCTCTGATTGGCTGAAACGAAATTCTCAATATCTTTCTTGTTTTTTGACGAAATGCTTTGAAATTTTGAACATAGTCATGCATTAGGATTTCCTACAATATGATATGAAAAAATTGTCATGAAAACACGCGCATGCACGTGCGCTGCAATCTGATTGGCTTAAACTTTAAATAGTTATAACTCCCTTGCTTTCCAACTAATTGGGATGTGATTTACACCATAGACAAACATAATGGGCTCCTACAGGAAGGTTTGGTCATCATGCACATGCATGCACGTGCGTGCACGTGCAATCAGTAAAACTAAAAATACACTGGATTTAGCGTATTTTTGAATACATTTTGATTCAATGTCTTAATATTAGGTACATTAAAGTAATTGATAGTGTAGATAAAATGATATGGTCGTTTAGCATAAGTTTGCACATGCGCTCACGTGCAATGCGAAAATTTGCGATATACTTGGTATATTTATGGAAAACGTTGTTAATGTCTAAGATGCATAGAGTTTGCCTTATTAGATGAAGCTTAGAGGGAATGAGGAACCAAAAGGAAGTTGGGGAGTGTTTGGGGAACATCTGTAACGGTTCCCGTTACAATCAGCACTAGTTCTTTAAGTTCTTGTGGAAATTTGTGTTGGCAACTTGGCACCGATGATTGCATATTGATATAAATATGATATCACATGGATTTAAACATATCAACTCTTTACCTTAATTCCTTTATCTCTTATCCTCAAAACCTACCAAAACATCTCTTTCAAGCTCATATCAGAATCATGTCGCTCTATGTTGAAATCATTAAATAACTTATCATTTCCAACCTGGGATGCTTTTGTTTATACTAGGCCTAGTTTGTTTTAGCGTATTCCGATCCCGATAAATTTTTGAATGCAACTTATTGTTTGGGGAGTAAAGCAGGAATTTTTACGATTACGAGTTCGCGCCAAGTGGTTTTGCGCCGATCACTTGTTCGCGCCGAGTGGATTCGCCCCTATTGATTTCTACTGTATAACTGAAGATACCGCTTATCGAATTAGTCATTTGATTAATATATATAATAAGATATATTAAGATATTATAAAGAAGAGGTAATATTGCAATGAAATGGGAAGTCTAATATTGTAAATCAAATGAAAAACAATGACATCCTTGAAAACTCAATGATATTTGTGAAATAATTTCAAATGAATATTTATTTTAACAGCCAGTCTTAATTATTCCAAATTAGACGATCAATTTTGTTCAAATAAATGGCTAAAAATGGCCTCGCTATCAGTGTTAATACAAAATGGGATAATTATCCGACACACGACATTAACGCGTGGGGTTAACTAATTACAAGGTACTAAGTTATATAATTATAGGTCATCGGGGGGAAGCCATACTGTATACTACTTATATCTTACCTGTTGATAAACGGGGCGAAACCACTCGGCGCTATACCACTCGGCGCCAACACCTAATCGCCGCGTCGTCATCGGGGGGAAGCCATACTGTATACTACTTATATCTTACCTGTTGATAAACGGGGCGAAACCACTCGGCGCTATACCACTCGGCGCCAACACCTAATCGGCGCGAAACCACCCTACACCCCTTGGGTAGTGGGAAATCCTTGTATATTTTAATCATGCAGTACTTGAATATGACATGGATACTACCCTCTTTGTACAGATAATTACAAAAAGATGATACATGTATCATACCGTAAAATGAGATTTCCCTGTATGTTAGGTGTAGTGTTGGCCAACATTGGTAAACTAGGCCTATTTATAGTAGACATGCATGTGCATGGAACTAGCCTAGAAGACATAAAATACGTATTTCTGATGGGACTGAAATAAATCAAATAATTCATGAAACTAGTACTGTCACTCAGCTGTTACTGAACTGCTGAAAAGGATATAAGAAACTGGCCTGTACTCTAAGACAAAATTCCTTTTGTTTGTGATTTTCGATTGTAAATGATTGCGGCACCGCGCCCAATATTGAGGCCGACACAGGTCAACTAAAACTTTGTAAATTGTAGCTTTTATTCCAATTGTAACATAGGGTACTGACAAATGACATCACAATGACATCATGTAATTTTGAATAGTATATCTTTTCAACACATACCTGTAAGTTATCTTCTTAAACCCCAGAACTCTAAATATTCACCAATTTCTTTTCACACATGTTTACACCGGCTAGGAGTAAAGTTACTGCCGCGGAAACTGCTGCTGCTGATTGGATGAAAATGATGGAATTCATCCTTGTACATTTTCGTAATTTATATTAAAGTAAATCAAGGGAAAAGACAGGATAAAATTCAATAATTCAAACGAAGTTAATTATTTTGATAATTTTTGTTTAATCAATATATGTTTAAACAGTAAAATAGACTTGAAGAAATCCCTGGGTTGTGAAGATGCGAAAATAACGATTTACTGATAGGTCGGACCAAAATAATGTCGGACTAGGCCTATATCAAACTCGGACTATAACAAACTCGGACTACACAAAGCCGGACCATAACAAACTCGGACCATAGTACTAAATTTACTATATGTTAATATATAATTATATTTTTGCTAATATATTATTAATAAGTTATATATTTTCATTTTTTTTTTCAAATGTTTGAACCAAAATAAATATTTTGCACTTTCTATAGTTAACAGTTATAAACACCTGCAGAGAAAATCTATACGTCCGCCGTGCTGTTGACTATTTTTAAATACCAAATATATCAATTTTTTTTTACAGAGATATATATGACTTTTAAATGCCATATAAATACGTATAACCAGATTTATGTTTTAGGTAAAAAAAAAAAATGAATAATTAATTTCACTTTCGTTTTTAAATTTACTTATACCAGTAAGTAAATGTAATGGAAAACACAATGATAATGAATGATTTAATATTTACAGAGACGTAAGATTGACTGTTCGGGGAGTGGGGGGATGGGGTGGGTAAATTATGATTTTTTTTACAAAAATATTTAACAAGAAATTAGGAAAAACATGACAGGTACATATATTTTCTCAGCAGACGTAGTCTACGACAAATACTTTAAACTGTAAAATGGATAAGAGTTTTGTATTCTTATTTTAAAGTGTTTTAAAATTGTTTTAAATGGTAAAACACACATATCTATAGTATTCAACATAATATATATAACAAAATACAAATTAATTTTATATTCAAAACAGGTATCTGTTATTACTTAACATATATATACGGTAGTCCGAGTTTGTTATAGTCCGACTTCGGTTTGGTCCGAGTTTGTTATAGTCCGACATTGTTATGGTCCGACTTATCTGTCAGCGACCCAAAAGGAACCCAAAAGGACCCAAAAGGAACCCAAACTTAAAGGACTTTAATTAAAATGTCATAAAACATTGAAAATTAATAATTTGAAGTAAATTACGAATATTATATTATATTTTTACATAAAAGTTGGCAAAAAATACTTATATTGATGCAACTGTAACAATAACATACAACTTTTATTGCACATCAAACAGTATAAATCTCACTAACACTTAATTGAACATAAAAGTCAGGTATGCTTTGATTTCTTTTAGCTGAAATTAACAAAGTATTAATTTACTTCGCCTTCTGAGCAAGCAGCAAAAAAAAAAAAAAACACCCAGTTAACCTTAAATAAATGCACGCCCGAAGGAAAATTTACAAATTAATATAGAGTCATTTTTATTTTAATTATTTTTCTACGTAAAATTTCACATCAAACCGGGGATCTATATTTTAAAAGAAATTTGACCGGGTTATTAGACGAAAATTATCCCCATGCCTAGAAAATTACTCATTTCTACAGTCATTTTAAAAAAATCATTGGAGTTTATTTTTTAGGAGACGTTTAACACATGAAACAAAAATATTTCCAAAAGGATTAAAATATCTACATTTTGATATAACCATATCTTACTATATGATAATAAATATATGAAAAAAGTTTTTTATCTTATTCATGTTTTAGGCATATGGTATCGGGGATGGGTGGGGTGTATGGGTGGTGGGGGACCTCCCACCTCAACCCCAACCACACACTTTACCCTAAAAAAATAGTTTTAGATTTGATAAAATATGAAAATGTTCATTATATATCCATTTATTGTCTTTATTTCAAGTCCTTTTGGGTCCTTTTGGGTTCTTTTGGGTAAATCGACGCACCCCATAATCATTTCGGAATTCCTTCCGATCATGGAGGAGAATAACTAGACAAGCGAATATTTGAGGGTCTAACTGCTCTGGGACTTAATAAGCTACAGTTTGCTGTTGTCAAACTAGAATCTTGCAATGGCACGGAAAGTATATCATTTTCAGATGTCTCTTGTGGATATGAAGTGTTAAGGGACAAAATAAAACGACGGCCATGTTTTTTCCCGTTTACATCAATGTTTAAAGACGGAGTTTCTTTCTTGCAAAATTTGGAAAAAGCAAGCAACGATGACATTAAAAACATGGAAAGTCACATGAAAGATGCTGTTTCACGCCTAAATGCATTTTACAAAGCTAAAGGTAAGAAAAGAAATTAGTTTGATCCCGTCCACTCCTAATCCGAGATTCCTCTGACTCTAACCCCCGCTTTTATATTGTGACTTGTGCGGGGGAGAGTCAGAGCGGACGCCATATCGAAAACTGGGAATCTGGCGAAACCACCTGGTAGCGCTACTCTGCCTACCTTTTACAACTTTTTTTCGCGGAGCTAACTCCCGAGACGCGAGAAATCAGTAAAACAATTATTCACCCACTTGTCAATTGTCATAAAAATGATGCTTCCACCGTTTAAACCACCCTATCACCGACAAATGTAGCATCACTTGAACTAGGTCGCCTGACTCGCCTCCTCGCCATTCGACCGCTTTGCGCGTGACGTCACACACAAATACACAAACAAACTATCACGTGAAAATATCATGTGTGGTGTTTTAAACCTCATATTAGCTTAAAAGTCGGTTTTGACAGATGCGTTCCTTATCAATAAATAAATAAAACATCATTATGTTATTTTATATGTATTTTCACAACACTTTCATAATTTTCCGAAAGCCCTACACGTGGTTTGAGCACGTGTTACTTTCAAACTGACTGGAATTTTGTGTGCTTACGTCATGCGCAAAGCAGTCGAATGGGGAGGAGGCGACCTAGTTCAAGTGATGCTACATTTGTCGGTGATAGGGCTGTTTAAACGGTGGAAGCATCCTTTTAAACACTATTTACAAGTAGGAAAATAATTATTTTACTGATTTCTCGCGTCTCGGGAGTTAGCTTCGCTAAATAAAGTTATAAAAGGTAGGCAGAGTAGCGCTACCAAGTGGTTTCGCCAGATTCCCAGTTTTCGATATGGCATCCGCTCTGACTCTCCCCCGCACAAGTCACAATATAAAAGCGGGGGTTAGAGTCAGAGGAATCTCGGATTAGTCCACTCCTAATTTGAGATTCCTTTGACTTAGTTAGAATAATCTAACTGTGTCTCGGTACAGGCCCTCACCACAGTTAGAATATGTCCCATATACTTGCAACGTAGCAAATCGGAGCGGATCAATCGGAGCGGATCCGCTCCGAAACGATTTTGAAGAATATAAAATGATTTGCACTGGAAATAACTACCAAAATAATCAAAACAAAATAAATAAAACACAAAATAAAACCTTCTTGAGATTGCTTATGCCTTTTATCCCTAAAAATAATCCATATAAATACGTAAATCCAATTAAATTTCTCAAGGTTTTTCTCTCCATTCAAATGTTTACATTTGGAACTCTCTAGATTATTCCTAGTAAATGCACTTTCGCCTGTGTTTCTTTCTGCTACATTACGAATACACAGAACGAATTCT